AGAGCCAGGGAGGCCAGCAGAGGATTAGCAATTACAAGGTGAGCTCTTTTTGATGCCTGCCATGTGCCAAACCATGTGCTAGGCAGTTTGCACACATTATTATATTCCAATAATACTACAAAGTAGGTATTGTTGAGTAAACCATGTGCCCTAGTTTGCCCGGAACAGTCATGGTTATATGCCTACTGTCCTGGTATACATTTTATTTATTTATTTGAAAGCCAGAGTGACTGAGAGCAAGAGAACAGATAAAGTGCGAGCTCTTCAATCTGCAGGTTCAGCCCCTAAATGGCCAGAACAGCTGGGGCTGGGCCAGGCTGAAGCCAGGAACCAGTAACTCCATCCGGGTCTCACATGTGGGTGGCAGTGACTCAAGTGCTTGGGCCACCTTCTACTGCTTTCCCAGATGCATTAGCAGGGAACTAACTCAAATCAGTGCTGTAACATGGGATGGTGTCACAAGCAGCGTTTTTTTTTTTTTTTCTTGTTTTTTTTTTTGACAGGTGGACAGTGAGAGAGAGACAGAGAGAGAAAGGTCTTCCTTTGCCGTTGGTTCACCCTCCAATGGCCGCCGCTGCAGCCGGCGCACCGCGCTGATCCGATGGCAGGAGCCAGGAGCCAGGTGCTTTTCCTGGTCTCCCATGGGGTGCAGGGCCCAAGCACCTGGGCCATCCTCCACTGCACTCCCTGGCCATAGCAGAGAGCTGGCCTGGAAGAGGGGCAACCGGGACAGAATCCGGCACCCCAACCGGGACTAGAACCCGGTGTGCCGGCGCCGCAAGGTGGAGGATTAGCCTATTGAGCCACGGCGCCGGCTACAAGCAGCGTTTTTTTTTTAATCATTTTTTTCAGGCATGGGTTTTTGCTTTGCTTTTTGCTTTTTATTTATTTGAAAAGCACAGTTACAGAGAGAGAGAAAGAGAGACAGAGAGAGACAGAGAGCTCTTCCAACTGCCTGTTTACTCCCCAAATGGCTGTAATAGCTGCACCCTTATGGGATGCTGGCATCTCGGGCAGTGGTTTAACTCACTAGGCCCCAACGCTGGCCCCAAGTATTTCCATTTCATAAGTGAGTGTACTGAGGCTTAGAGAGGGAATTAATCAGCCCAAGGTCACACAGTTAGTTGGTAAATGATAGAGGACTGATATTCAAACTCTGTATGGCTCTGCTATGGACTGAACTGTGTCATCCGAAACTCTTCTATGATCTCCAACATGACAGTATTTGGAAATAGGGCCTGTGAGGAGGTGACAAAGGTTAAATGGGGTCAAAAGACCTAACCTGGCAGGGCTAGTGCTGCTAGCAAAACTGACATCCTACACCAGAACACAGGTTCCCAGCTGCTCCGCTTCAATCCAGCTCCCTGCTAATGTATCTGGGAAAGCAGCAGAGGATACTTGGAACTCCGCCACCCATGTGGGAGGTCCAAATGGAGTTCTAGGCTCTTGGCTTTGGCCTGACCAGTCCCCGCCATTGCAGCCATTTGGGAAGCGAACCTGCATACGGAAGATCTGTCTGTCACTCTGCTTTTTAAATATATACACACAAAAAAACATTTTTTAAAAAGGAGAAATACCAGAGCACTTACAGTGTGAGGACACAGCAAAATGATAGCTCTCTGCAAGCCAGAAAAAGAGCTTTTACCAGTGATAAACAGGATGGCACTCTGATCTTGTACTTTGTAGCCTTCAAAACTATAAGAAAATAAAGTCTGTGTTGTTTAATGCACTCAGGGTGTGGTATTTTCTTACAGCATCCAGAGCCAAGTGAGACAGGCCCTAGTATTCATGCCCCTTCCATGCAACATACTGGAGGGAGGGCTCCTCAGGCAGGGCCAGTGTGAACCAGTAACTGGTGCTGGCCTACACGGATCTATTCCACTTGTGTTCCCTGAACTGGGGTCAAGAGTGGACCCAGCATTCTCTTCCCTAAACTAAAGTAGGCAGCTTGTTGTCCCTCCCTCTATGAGTCTGGCTCCAACCAGAAACCACTCTATAACTTGAACCAGGACTATGTAACGTGTATAATGGGACTGCAGTAATGAAGGAGTGGAGAGCAAGAAGCCAAGAGGACTCTAAGGACTCTAAGAATAGCAGGCGCCAGGAGCAGCCACTGCCCATAGGCTAAGGGAGAAGACTGCATCCGTGCCTTAGGCTGACAAGCAAACCTCGTTGGAGAGGCACAGCTGTGAGCCAGTGAATCACACAGAAGTGGCTGTGGTGCTGTACTGGTGGAACTTGCCAGTAATCCACCCTCAGGCTGGAAAACCACCCTTTATGGTGCAGGAAAAAGCTATTCAGAGAGGAATCTCACTGGATGCACTCGGATATAAAACCACCCAAAGAGGGCAGGGTGCTGGGGGGAAGGTGCTGGCTGCAGGGTGCAGCTGGTCCCCAGCCACGGAAGCCTGGTACCAGAAAGCCAACCTAAGAAGCTAGCGTGCATACTTCAAGAGCCCGATGGGACCAAGAAAGAAGATCCTGCCTTCTTCAGTGTCTCCCCAGGGCCTTCCTAATAAGGCTTATCCTACCAGTAGGCAAAGGGAAAAAGAATACTGAAATGATGTAGGCTAGATACATTTCCAGGGCAGGCAAAAAGGATAACTGAAATATAGAGACAATAAATCAGTAACCAGTATACATCCTCAAAATGGTTTTCATGTATTAAGACAACGGTTTTTCCTCAGCCAGTGGTTTTCCAAAAACCAAGGAAGGAGGGACCAAGGACTAAAAGAATACATTGAAAATAAGGGCAGGTGGGCCGGCGCCGCGGCTCACTAGGCTAATCCTCCGCCTTGCGGCGCCAGCACACCGGGTTCTAGTCCCAGTCGGGACGCCGGATTCTGTCCCGGTTGCCCCTCTTCCAGGCCAGCTCTCTGCCATGGCCCGGGAAGGCAGTGGAGGATGGCCCAGGTACTTGGGCCCTGAACCCCATGGGAGACCAGGAAAAGTACCTGGCTCCTGCCATCGGATCAGCACAGTGCGTTGGCCGCAGCGCGCCGGCCGCGGTGGCCATTGGAGGGTGAACCAACGGTAAAGGAAGACCTTTCTCTCTGTCTCTCTCTCTCACTGTCCACTCTGCCTGTCAAAAAATAAAAAAAAGAAAATAAAAAAAAAAAGAGAAAAGAAGGGCAGGTGAATTTATCAAGAGGCCCAGCAGTCCAAGCTGTATTTTATTTGTAGCTGGTATATGAAAATTATACATATATAGGGTATTTTTTAAAGATTTTATTTTATTTGAAAGTCAAGAGTTACACAAAGAGAGGAGAGGCAAAGAGAGAGAGAGATCCTCCATCCAATGGTTCACTCCCCAATTTGGCCGAAACAGCCGGAGCTGCACCGATCCGAAGCCAGGAGGAAGGAAATTCTTCCTGGTCTGCCATGTGGGTGCAGTGACCCAAGGACTTGGGCCATCTTCTACTGCTTTCCCAGGCCATAGCAGACAGCTAGATTGGAAGTGGAGCAGATGGAACTAGAACTGGCGCCCATATGGGATGCTGGTGCTTCAGGCCAGGGTGTTAACCCGCTGCGCCACAGCAAATGGCCCCCATGTATAGGGTATTAAGTGATGTCTTTGTACATGTATATTTTGTGGAATATTCAAATGGGGTAAACGTATCTATTTCCTCAAACATTTATCATCTCTTTATTTTGCAGACATTGTAAATGCTGTCTCCTGGGATCTTCTCTTTAAAGAATACACAGTATGTTAACACTATCTACAATCACCCCTGTGCAATAGAACACCAGACCGTCTTTCTCCTACCTATTACCTAGTCCCTGTTCATCAACTTAGCCCCTCCCCTTCTTCCCCATTACTCTCCCCAGTCTCTGGTAACCTCCATTCTGTTTTCAATTTCTATGAAATCAAGTTTTTTGGACCATGTGGGACTTATCTTCCTTATTCTACTTACTATAATAACCTGGGGCTGGCATGGTGGCACAGTGGGTTAAGCTGCCGCTTGTGATGTGTGTGACACTAGCATCTGGCTCCCTGTTAACGCACCTGGGAAGACAGCAGATGATGGCCCAATACTTGGGTCCCTGCCACCCATGTGGGAGGCCTGGATGGAGTTGCTGGCTCCTGGCTTCGGCCTGGCCCAGATCTAGCTATTCTGACCATCTGGAGAGTGAATCAGTGGATGGAAGATATTTCTCTTTCTCTCTCTGTCCCTCCCTACCTCCCTTTATAATTAATTAACTTTTTTTTTTTTTTAGAAGAACGTAACGTCCTCTAGTCATCCACATTTTCACAACTGACAGGAAGAAATCCCAGTGCTTCCTAAGCTCACCAAGCAGTTCTGCTACTGAGAAACCTTTGAAAGTACTCCGACCGGCAGGGAATGTCCACACACAGGACCACTGGCGGTGGTGCGTGAGAGAGCGAGAGCGAGAGAGACGCCAGAACTTGACGTGCCTAAGTTTCCCAGAGCAACCCTGCCTCCCCTCGTGGCAGTGGGTGCACCTCTTTGCCAGCTGGTTTCTCCGGGCGGGCCCACTCCTGCCTTCCGACTTGGGTGCGCGCTGTTCCCTGTGCCCCAAGCGCTCTCCCGCTGTCCCCACCCCTGTCCCCACCAAGCAGCGCAGCTTCTCCCTCAGACGAGCCCTCCTCTCGGGAACCGCCGCCGCCACCTTCCAGCCCCACTTAGAGACCCCTCCTCCGCTCCTGAACCCCGGCGCCGACACCGCTGCCCGCCTCCTCGCTCCCTTCGAGGCTGCGGACGCTCGGCGCCGCCAGGCGTCGGGGAGGGAAGGGCGGGACCCGCGCTGCCGGGCCTTTGCCTTGTGTTCCCAACATGGCCTAACATGGGCGCCCCCAAAATAGCTAACAGCCGACGGAGGAGGGAAGCCTCCCTCTCACCGCCTCTCGCCAACGTGCCCAGGTGTTCGTGTGTCTGGCGGCTCGGCGACCGCCAGGCCTGCAGGGGGCGGGGCCCGCCAGATGCCCGACCCGAGGGGCGGGGTCTGCTCGGCCGCCCCGCCGCCCTGCCGAGGGGAATAAGAAGGTGCCAGTCTTGCCAGTAGGCGGGGTTTCTCGCGCGCACTCCCGGAAACGCATTGGAGTCCCGCCTTGCAGCCCGGAGACGCGTTGCCGCCGCCGCTCCCCGCCGCCGTCGCCTCCGCCACCGCCACCGCCGCCGCGTCTGCTGCGCCTGTCATGCCGGTAAGTGGCCGCGCCGTCCCCGCCTGCGCTAGCCTGCGGTGCTCGGCTTGCGCCCCGGCCACACCGCCGCTCGGCCACTAGTCGCTTTTCCAGGGCTCAGGCCGCGGCTGGAGCTGTTAACTATCTCTCTTCCTCCTCCTCCCCAGCCGCCCCCAGGTTCGGGGACCCTCCAGAAAATCGCACCCGAAAAGAGTTAAATCTGGGGGCCTGGCTGCAGAACGTTGGAACTGCATGGCCTCGTGCAGCTACAAACGCAAACCTTCCCTGCAGCTCCGGGAAGTGGAGTCTCGGGGAGGGAACGGAGTGAGCCCGCGTGACCCAGGGGGGTCGGTGTCCAGCGGGAACGGCTGTTACACGTGGACGCCCTGCTTTGGCCGGGGAGTTGGTCGGGCCGTTCTGAGCAAGTGGGTGGGTCCAGCTGTTGCCTCACGGGCAGGACAGGGTTTACAGAAGTTCTGCACCTGGCCCGGCCTCCTCTCAGGTCAGCGCTGGGCGACCCTGCGTGGACACAGTGCGTTTCACCTTTCCAGCAGTCAGGTCCTCAGCCTGGACCCACCAGCCTCGGAGAGGTTTCAGGAACCTACCCAAAGTCGGCGCTGTACACGCTAGAGCTTGGGAAGGAATATGAGATATACGAACTCTACAGTTTGCACATGCCCATACTTGCTGGCTGGCTTTGCAGTTCACTTGGTCTTACATATATGCCTTATCTTTTAGATTTTAAATTTTAGTTAATGGTTTCCATGTTATTTGAAAGGGAGAGACAGTTGGCTCATTCACTCCCCCCCATACCCTCCACAGCCACGGTTGGGCAAGGCGGCAGGCAGACACCTAGAACTCAGTCGTGATCCCACTGTTGTTGGAGGCCAGGATGCAGCCACTTGCGGCATCACCTGCTGCCTGCGGAAGTGCACAGTAGCAGAAAACTGGGCTGGAAAGTGCAGCCAGGACTCACGCACACCTGCGTGGGATGCAGGCATCCCAAGTAATATCTTAATCACTGCACCAGTTGCACCCTCCCTTCCCGCAATGTGGTGCCAGCATCGCATGGGGGTGCTGGTTCAAGTCCCGGCTGTTCCTCTTCCAATCCAGCTCTCTGTTATGGCCTGGGAAAGCAGCAGAGGATGGCCTCTGCACCCACATGAGAGACCCAGAAGAAGCTCCTGGCTTAGGAATGGTCCAACTGTGGCCGATCTTCCATCTGTCTCTCCCTCTGTCATTAACGTTACCTCTCAAATAAATGAAATATTTTTTTTTTTTTTGACAGGCAGAGTGGACAGTGAGAGAGAAAGACAGAGAGAAAGGTCTTCCTTTGCCGTTGGTTCACCCTCCAATGGCCGCCGCGGCTGGCACACTGCGGCCGGCGCACCGCGCTGATCCAATGGCAGGAGCCAGGTACTTCTCCTGGTCTCCCATGGGGTGCAGGGCCCAAGGACTTGGGCCATCCTCCACTGCACTCCTGGGCCACAGCAGAGAGCTGGCCTGAAAGACGGGCAACTGGGACAGAATCCGGCGCCCTGACTGGGACTAGAACCCGGTGTGGCGGCGCCGCAGGCGGAGGATTAGCCTATTGAGCCGTGGCGCCGGCTGAAATATTTTTCTAAAAAAAAGTAAAAATTAGAAGCCTAATAACTTACTGAAGGTGTTGGAGTTAGAGTCAAGATTAAGCCCCTTTGTCTTCAGGCTCATGGTGTCTCCTGGCCTGACCAGGTGGGACCTGATGAACAGTCACAGCCACGTGGGAAGAAGTTTGTATCCTAGTTGAGGTCTTGGTTGAGGTCCCAGCGTTCAGTGCTTGGCTCCAGGGTTTCAGGTTTCCTGGCTGTATACCAAGTGGGGACCCAGAGGGGTCCCGCTGAGCCCCTTTGTCTTACCAGCCTGTCTCTTTGGGAGCTTGCAGATGAGCCTGAGGCCCCCTGAGCAGAGCTGTAAACATCTCAGATGTCATTTCCCTGTGGTCCTGAGCCAGCACTTAATGTGGACAAAGAATGAGCCAGTACCAGTTGAGCAGGTCTACTTGCGGCAGTGGTTGAGGTCAGCATTACTCAGCCTGGGCCTGGGAGAGGGCACGCCGCCAGGTGGATTGTGAGGGGTTGCAGTGGAGGAGAAGGCCAGTTTGAGGGTCAGTCTGTTTCAAGTCTCCTTCCAGGGCTTGTGACAAAGGACCCTCTTCATCACAAAACCCGACAGGCTCCATATCACAAGATGAACAGATGAAGGGAATAAGGGTTTTGAGGGACTGCCTCTCAACTGTAGGGAGAAGAGTGTGTTACCTGAGAGGTGGTTGTTTTTGTTGTTGAAAAGTCATGAAACTACTTCAAGGAGTCACAGGTGTTTAACTGGAAGAAAAGAAAAATTATTATTTTTTTAAAGATTTATTCATTTTACTTGAAAGTCAGAGTTACACAGAGAGAGAAGGAGAGGCAGAGAGAGTGGTCTTCCGTCCGTTGATTCACTCCCCGACTGGCCGCACAACTACGCTGAACCGAAGCCAGGAGCCAGGAGCTTCCTCCAGATCTCCCACGTGGGTGCAGAGGCCCAAGGACTTGGGCCATCTTCCAGTGCTTCCCCAGGCCATAGCAGAGAGCTGGATCAGAAGTGGAGCAGCTGGATCTCGAAGTGGTGCCCATATGGGCCTCTGGCACTGCAGGTGGTGGCTTTACCTGCTATGCCACAGATTCAGCCCCAAAACTGACTATAATTTAAGGTGGGTTTTGCTTTGGCTGCAGTAGAAGAAGCCACACAGTTGGAGTCCAGCCCTGGAAAGCAAGCTGCTTGAATATTGATGTCAGTTTCCTGTGTACTATATGATAATAATCCAGACCCAGAGGTGTTGAGTTTGAGAAGCCCCAGAGCCCATTTTTCTCAGGTGTATTATGTTTTCTCCCTGCCTCTCCCCAGTGGGTGAAACCCGCAACCCTCCCACCCCCACCCCCACAGATCTGTAGAGCCAGTGCAGGCAGGTGGTGCATATCAAACAGCGCAGTGAAATTGAAAAGGCTGAGTGGCTATGATCCTGTTGGTATAGATAAGAAAACTGGGGTCGTTAGGGGCAGACATGTTGCCTAAAGTCTTCCAGCAAGATACATAGTTGTATGCAGAATTCTACTCCGGTACTCAGTATTTTGAAGTGATCTATGAAAATTGTAGCCATTGTGGTACTCCATCAATTTGTACAGTTTTTAAGTTTCTGTTTTAAAAGCGTAGCCATTGCTTTCTGAAGGGGAAAGGAAGAAAGAAATGGAAGAAACAAACCGTAGTAAGAAACCCAGGAGCAACTTTTTGTCCAGTGGAACCCAGTACTAGGCCCTCATCTCTTTACCTAGTATATTAGTTACCTATTGTTCCTTAGTAATTAACTCCAGACATTGTGGTTTATTTATTTTTACAAATTTATTTAATTTATTTGAAAGGCATAGTTACAGAGAGAGAGGGAAAGACAGAGATCTTCCATCCACTGTTTTACTCTCCCAAATGGCCCCAACAGCCAGGGCTGGGCCAGGCTAAAGCCAGGAATCAGAAGCTTCTTCCGGGTCTCCCACATGGAAGCAGGGGCCCAAGCTTTTGGGTCATCTTCCACTGCTTTCCCAGGAGCATTAGCAGGGAGCTGGATCGGAAGTGGAGCAGCCAGTACTCCCTCATATGGGATGCCAGCACTTTACCCACTTTGCACAGCACTAGCCCCAAAACAGAGTGGTTTAAAAATCATCAGTGTATTAGTTCAGAGTGTTTCCTAGGGTTGGGAGTCTGGGAGCAGCTTACCTGAGTGGCTGTTCTCAGAATCTGTTGTGAGGCTGTCGCGATGATGTCGGGTGCAGCTGCAGTCATCTGAAGACTTCCCTGGGGCTGGAGGGTGCAGTTTCCCACCTTGTGAGCCTCTCCGGATGGTTGCTTGAATGTCCCTAAGATATGGCAGCTGGCTTCCTTTAGAGCCAGAGATCCCAGAAGGAGAGCATGGCAGAAGCCACGTAAAGTCACTTCAGCCATATTGTACTGGACACACAGACCAACCCTGAGACACTGTGGAGTGCAGCTACTCAAGGGTATCCATCCCAGGAGGCAGGGATCACTGAGGCTAACTTGAGAGCTGGCTGCCATACTGAAGTCCTGTGTTCATCCTGTTCACCATCCTGGAGAAGGACTGTTTCCCCATTTTGTAGATGTGGAAAACCAAGGCAAGAAGGAGTTAAGTTACTCACTCATGCTCATGCAGCTGGTAGATGCCAGAGCTGGTATCTGAAGGCAGATGTGGGTCTGCAGTGTGGGTCACTTGGCTCATGGTTCCCCTTGTTTCAGAAACACGAGTTCTCCGTGGACATGTCCTGTGAAGGCTGTGCCGATGCCGTCAGTCGAGTGCTCAACAGGATAGAAGGTACGTGGGTGACCATCAGCTGCAGTCTGGGGAGGGACAGATAGCCTTAGAGTCCAGTGCCTGTGGACGTGGCTGGAGAAGCCGTACTGTGAGCTGCTCATTAGTCACACTACAACGTATTGAGCTCTTAGCACGTGGCAGGCACTGTGCACAGTGACTGGTGTCGACCACATTGTCGTGTTGTCACCGCAGCCATTTCAGGAGCCGTCTCTGACTACCTGCATTCTCAACAGGAGGGAACTGAAGTTCAGAGAGGTTGAGCAACTTGGCTGGAGTTGAGCCACCCACAGGCCAGCCCTGCAGCCCTGACGGGATTCAGGAACATGCTGGTGATCTCCATGGTGATAACTTTGGTAGCTTGTGCCATTTGAGTGTCATTTTCCATGAAAGATATTTAAAATGGTAACAGTTTCAAAAATTAATTTTGAATCAGTCACCTGAAGAACTCATAAAACATCTTTTGAACGTATCTGGAAAATCAGCATTCTCATCCAGCCCTCTCGTTTCACATCTCGGGAACTGGGGCCCAGAGAAAGCCGGGATCTGGCCTTGGGGCTCAGTGAGGTAATGACCAGGCTGTGATCAGAATTCTGATAGAGCTAGGGCCCTGGCTGCCTAACAAGATGTTCCTTTTTAAAGCCCTCTGTAGTAGTCACACCCAATTTTCAGGTGGCTTCCCCGTGGCTGTGATCTCAGCAGCGGTCCTCTGAGCTGTACTTTCCATCTGTGCCATGGGAACGTTGATGCTGATGTCCCAGGGGGGAAGTGACTGGTCAGGCAGTGGCAGCTTCTAGCCTTGTAAAGTGGGAGCTTAATTTGAAAGCACATGAAACAGTGGAAAGAACTGGCTGCAGTTCTGTGACTGTGGGCTCTCCTCCCTCGGGCCTGGGCCTCCCCGGCTGTGTGTGGTATGGGAATGTCAGTCTGTATCAGCTTTTGCTGTAAAATGCTGCATGGGAGCCCTTCGTAGACAACATCTCATTCTCTGGGTGGAGAGGGGACAGGCCTGTTTTCCTTCTGATAGCTCAAGGACCTTTGCCCAGGACCCCGGGCTTGAGGGAACACAGTTTGAAATCCACTGTGTTTGGTGATCCCAGCATTTCTTCCAACTCCATGATACCTCCAAGAAGGAGGGTGATCCTCCTGAACCCAAAAACAAAAGTCTAGAAAGGACGCACAGCCCCCTTCCCTCTTGGACACCCATTCTGTACAGATTGGAAGATGGTGATCAGATCCTATCTGATCTGATTTTTTTTTTTTTTTAACAGGCAGAGTTAGATAGAGAGACAGAGAGAAAGGTCTTTCTTCTGTTGATTCACCCCCCAAATGGCCGCTACGGCTGGCACGCTGCGCCGATCCGAAGCCAGGAGCCAGGTGCTTCCTGCTTCCTCCTGGTCTCCCATGGGGTGCAGGGCCCAAGCACTTGGGCCATCCTCCACTGCACTCCCAGGCCACAGCAGAGAGCTGGCCTGGAAGAGGGGCAACCAGGACAGAACTGGCTCCCCAACTGGGGCTAGAATCTGGGGTGCCAGCGCCGCAGGCGGAGGATTAGGCTAGGGAGCTGTGGCGCCAGCCTGTGATCTGATTTTTAAGGCCCCTTGACTGATGCTTAAGGATCTACCTTTGAACTTCAGCAATTTTCTCTGCCATTTGTCACTGCTGTCCCTGCTTGGGTGGTGCCCGAGAAGGGTTAGAAGGGTTTTCTGAGTTGTTGAGGGCCCTAGAAGAGTGGTGTTGGGCATGATCAGTCAGAGACTGATGGCTGACCTAGCTGGGAAGACCACTGGGGCTGGCCTGCCTCTTCCATGGACAGTGGGGAAGCTGAGGCCTATAGTGGGCAGGATGCACCAAGGTCACCTCGGGATCCTGTTATTTATTTATTAAATGTTTATTTATTTGAAAGAGTTACCAAGAGAGAGGAAGGGAAGACGAGAGAGAAAGAGAGAAGCTGATCTTCCCTCCACTTGTTCACACTCTAAATAGCTGCAACAGCTAGGGCTGGGCCAGGCTGAAACCAGGAGCCTGTATCTGCATTGTGGTCTTCCGTGTGGGTGGCAGGGGCCCAAGTATTTGGGCCATCTTCCACAGCTTTCCCAGATGTGTTAGCAGGGAGCGGGATTAGAAGTTGAGCAGCTGGAACTTGAACCTGTGTTCTGCTGTGGGATGCCAGAATCACGGGTTGCGTAACCTGGAGCACAACACCAGCCCCTCCATCTGCATTCTTTTGTCACAAGACTTTGGGCCCTCCCCTGTGCTGTTAGGGACCTTAAATTGGCTTAGCCTTTTAGAGGCAATTTTGCACTATTAGCATTCAGAACATAGCAGTTCATTGTTTCACAGTTTCTGTTCTTCGAAATCCTGGTATGGAAATTTTTTCACACGTTTTACAAGTTATGTTTAAGAATGTTGAGGCCAGCGTTATGGCACAGCAGGTTCAGCCACCTGCAATACCAGCATCCCTTATGAACACCAGGTCGAGTCCCCGCTGTCCAACTTCTGCTCCAGCTCCCTACTAATGCACCTGGGAAAGCAACAGAAGAAGGTCCAGGTGCTCAGGCCTCTGCAGACCCAGATGGATTTCCAGGCTCCTGGCATTGGCCTGGGCCAGCCCTGGCAGTTATAGCCATTTGAGGGGTGAACTAATGTATGGAAGATTGATCTCCCTCTCTCTCTTCCCCTCTACCTCCTTTCCTCTGTAACTCTGCCTTTCAAACTAATACATCATTTTCGTGGAAAAAAAAATGGATGTTTATATAGCACTATTGTAATAGAAGTGAGAAGTTAGAAGCCACCTTGGTGCCCTTCAACAGAATCGGGTACTTCTGTTGGTGTGTGGTTCATGCATGTTGTCGAAGGCTGTAGCTGTTGAACAGAGCGAAGTAAGTCTGTGTGTGCTGAGATAGCAACACAGTTTGGAAGCTGCAGAGTGAACTATGAGCAACACCCACTTCTGAAGTGTGACGCAGTGTCAGGAGTCATTTTTCATTCATATGTGGCAGAAGGGATGGAAGCCGTACTGTTCACGGTGATCTCTGGGAATGGGATGAGTGGGGTTTCTCACAGTAACTTTGTTTAGAATTGTTTGCTTTTTCAGAAAATGGTGTATCCATCTGTGTTACTTTTGCCGTGGAAAAGACTAGAACACTAATGTAGAGCAGGAATTGGCAAACTCTAGGGCCTGTGGGCCAGATCCAGAATGGATCTCATTTTTTTTTGGACAGGCAGAGTGGACAGTGAGAGAGAGAGACAGAGAGAAAGGTCTTCCTTTTGCCATTGGTTCACCCTCCAATGGCCGCCGCGGCCGGTATGCTGCGGCCGGCGCACCGCGCTGATCCGATGACAGGAGCCAGGTACTTATACTCCTGGCCTCCCGTGTTGTGCAGGGCCCAAGTACTTGGGCCATCCTCCACTGCACTCCCGGGCCACAGCAGAGAGCTGGCCTGGAAGAGGGGCAACCGGGACAGAATCCGGCACCCCGACCGGGACTAGAACCCGGTGTGCCGGCGCCGCAAGGCGGAGGATTAGCCTAGTGAGCCGCGGCGCCGGCCCTGGATCTCATATTTTTAAAGGGAGGTCAGGAAGTACACACATGGAAGACTGTGCAGCTGGGTCCATATGTGGGCAGCAACGCCTGCAATGTGTGTGTGCTCTCTGCCTCTTTACGGCAAAAGTACGCCAGTCCCTGGTGCAGAGGAAGGGGACGGATGATTGGCTTTTGGAAGTAATTTAGGAGCCTGAACTCTTTCTTGCTGTCCTAGGAGGGTCTCATTTCCTCTGCCCACACCCTGTTTCCTCTTCCTGCAGGAGTAGAGTTTACAATTGACCTGTCCAACAAGAAGGTTTGCATCACTTCTGAACACAGTGTGGACGTCCTGTTGGCAACCCTGAAGAAAACGGGAAAGGCCGTTTCCTACCTCGGCCCCAAGTAGCAACAGCCTGGAACCCCAGCCCTCAGGATGGACCAAAGGGGACAGGTGAGTGAGGCCCCAGCACTTTTATCAGGGTTACACTGTGGCCTTTGAGACCTTGAGAGCAGCAGGAGAGCACCCTGGGTTACTCTGAACCTGCTGTGTGTGTTCTTTGGAGTATTATAAATACTCCATTATTGACTAATGCAGCTTGTGGGTTCAAAGGCCCTTCTAGCCCACTGTAAGTAGATGGACTACTGTGTAGTAGTGGGAATGTGTTTCACGGGCAGCGGGGTTTAAGTTCAGAATGTGTGACCCGAGCAGTGTGCCTTTTGCTTTGGTAAGTTGGCTGTCCTGGAGCAAGCATTGAGCATAGTAGTGAAGACACCACTTGGGATGCCCACATCCCATATTGGAGTGCCCTGTGTTTGAGTCCTGGCTCTGCCTCCAATTCCAGCTTCCTGCCAGTGTGCATCCTGGGAGGCAGGAGAGTGATGATGGCTCACGTAGTTGGGTCCCTGCCACCCATATGGGATACTTGGGCTGAGTTCTTGGCTCCCAGCTTAGGTTTGGCCCAGCCTTGGCTGTTGTGTGCATTTAGGGGGTGAACCAGCAGATGGGAGCTCTGTCTGCTTATTTGTCTCTCTCTGCCTCTCACATAAATAAATAAAAACTAGGCCGGCGCCGCGGCTCACTAGGCTAATCCTCTGCCTTGCGGTGCCGGCACACCGGGTTCTAGTCCCAGTCAGGGCGCCAGATTCTGTCCTGATTGCCCCTCTTCCAGGCCAGCTCTCTGCTGTGGCCCGGGAGTGCAGTGGAGGATGGCCCAAGTGCTTGGGCCCTGCACAACATGGGAGACCAGGATAAGTACCTGGCTCCTGCCATCGGATCAGTGTGGTGCGCTGGCCGCAGCACGCCGGCCGCGGTGGACATTGGAGGGTGAACCAACGGCAAAGGAAGACCTTTCTCTCTGTCTCTCTCTCTCTCACTGTCCACTCTGCCTGTCAAAAAAAAAAAATAATAAAATAAATAAATAAAATCTTTTTAAAATTTGTCCTATCAGAGTTGAAACTTATGTCCTGGGCCTTGTGTTCCTGTGCACTGAGTTAATTCAGGCTTTGCCTCTCTCCACTCGGAACTGCCCTCAACCCCTGAGCGTGCCCTCTGCTCAGACTGGTGTGTCTAAGCAGAGTGTTCCCTTTGGTTTAACATAAGCCAAAGAGGTAGTAAGAGGCACTGTGCAAGCACTCTTCACCCTGGAACAAGGAGACCAGACTCGCCGATGTGACTTTCCTTCCTGCCATGCCCTGCCACCATCCGTCTCAGCAGGGCACTCCTGGCTGTCCATTCCCACGTAACATGTTTGACTGCTGAATTACAGTGATTGACACATCCCTGCTGCGCCTTCACTGCAGTTAAACAACAGTTGGGGTGCAGGGGCGGGGGGAAGTGACTTGAGCAAAACCCCCCATAGGTGAAAGGCAGAGGGAGGAAGACATTCAGGAGTTTTGTAATGACTGTAACTGGCAGGACTGTGCATAAGCCCACAGAGAGCTCCCCAGGCAGAAGCCAGCTGTAACAACTGGCAGGCTGTGACAGGCCCTGCAGCTGCAGCCTCCTTGCTAAGGGTACCCGTTGGCCTCTGAGCCAAGGCAGCACTCTGCGTATGTGGTCACATCACGTGCAAGCCACAGACTGTTAGGGTGCACGCGTTTTCTTCATGCCCTCTATGTCCCTAGGTGCAACCCACATTCAGAATGAGCCCAGGATGCATGACAAGAACTGGGATTCTCACTCCAGCTCCTATTGTGCTTTTCATATGCCTGGGATTTGGTTCCTATCTGTAAAATGGGGTTAAGACCACCACCCTACTTTCCTGCCTTGGGGTCATCGTGCCATCCCCCTGAACAGGAGGGATTATCCTGTACAGGAGCAGAGCACTCTCAGTTCCCACCGTGCTGGGCAGCAGTGTTCCTCACACCGTGCCTCCATCCGTGGAGGGTGACTGGAGCCCTCTGTCTCCCCAGACAGCCCTGGTTCACATTGTAAGGTTACATTTGGCAAAAGTGGAGGGCAAGAAGAGAACTAAGTGCCTGAGTGAGCTGAATCCACGGGGAGCCCCAGGCCAGACACCTTGGATTGGAGGCTCCTAGCTGAACGTGGAACTTTTTTATTTTTACAGGAAAAAGTCACACCTGCTGGTTGTAAACAATATGTAGCTTACTGCGTGTTTTTCTCATACCAGTTTTTTTCTTAATTGTGGTGACGTTGACGTGGCCTACAGTTAGCCAATTTAAAGCATACCTCTCAGTGCATTCACAATGCTATACACCCAACACCTCTTTAGTTTCAAAACCTTTTCATCATCCCAGAAAAACACCACACACCCAGTCAGCAGCCGTTCCCCAAGGCCCTCTGTCCAGCCTGGCAATCGCTAACCTGCTCTCTGCCACCCTGGATTTGCCTGCTCTGGGCGTCTCCTGTCAAAAGAGTGACACAACCTGTTGAACTTTGTGTGTCTGGCTTCTTTCATTACGTTTTCAAGACTGAGCCAAGTGGCAGCGTGTGTCTGCGCTTCATTCTTTTAGGTAGCTTAGGCGTCCTCATGGTTGTTGATTTTTCACCCTATCGCAGGACGTTTCAAGCATACAGAGGCCCAGTGGCGAAACAAGTCTCCATTATGCAGGCCCAACAATTGCCAGTCCGATCACTGCCAGCCTTGTTTCCACCTATGCTGCGTCCCTATCCCCAGCCGATGCCAGACCTGGTATCACGTTGCCCGTACCCACTTCAGTGACCGTGCGGAGACTCAGATGCTGGGACTTGGGGAGGATCGCTGAACCACACAGCTTTACCCTTGCTCTCGGGCAACACCCACCTTTGAAGTCAGTTTTAACAGGCTTCCTGGTGACCGACTGAAGCCCGATTTGGAAACCTCAGAGAGTGTTTGTTGGTGATGCAGTCACGTTGGCCTCCTGGTTCTTGGCTGATGTGTCTGCTTATGACTTTGTTCATTGTCTTCCCAGCATAAACGGAAACTGGACAGGGTTCTCTGGGCTGAGTGTCCTAGTAGCCCTGGGAACTTCGCAGAGGAAGCTCTCAGCTGTGATTGGCTTAGCAAGGTTACTGGGTTCATGGCAGGCGCAGTGTGCAGGGCTAAACGTTCCAGTCCTGCTCCTGCACGGGAGATCTCCCACCTCACATCCTACCATGGCCGCTTTGTGCACCTTTACTGCTTTTGCAGTGTGGCCAGGTCCACAGCAGATGGCGCCTTTGTTCCACCTAACTTTTCATCTTTCCTAGGATGCTGCTCCTCCCCTGCCTTCCAGAAGGACCTGGAACCTGGCAGTCCTGCTCAGTGGTAGGAGTTTCCCACGGAGACCCTCCCTTGTCCCCTGCTTCCCAGGTTCTCTGCAATAAAATCAAACTGCATTGTTGGAGATGGTGTGTCTTGCGTGATCTTTTATTAGATGTCATTAATTTGAAAGGCAGAGTAACTCTGAGGCAGAGACAGAGATCATCCATCCACTGGTTCACTTACCAAATGGCTGCAACAGCCAGGGCTGGACTAGGCTGAAGACAGGACTCAGAAACTACAAGTGGGAATCTCACATGAGTAGCAGGAACTCAAGTACTTGAGCTGTCATCCAGCACATCCCAGATTCATTAGCTAGGAGCTGGATTGGAAGTAGAGTAGCCAAGGCTTGAAAAGGCACTCCAGTATGGGATATAGGTGTCCCAAGTGGCAACTTAACCCACCACGCCCACAGCACCAGCCCCTCCTACACGGTCCTGACGTCACCTGCTCACAGACAAGCCGTCCCGTGCTTGCTTCACTTGGAGTCTCCAGAGATTCTGACTAGTGTCAGGCAGCCTGCAGGCTCTGATTGCAGTGTGCTGCGTCATGTCCCCTCTTGCACCTCGTTTTGTCCTCTCTATAAGGTGAAGACATTGAGCCAGATCAGTGATTTCCTTTCTTTTCATCATTTCCTTAGAGTGCATATTTTTTTCTGGAGATTTATTTTATCTATTTTAAAGAGAGAGTTAGAAACAGGAAGAGGGCCTGCTAGTTCACTCCTAAATTGACCACAATGGCCAGAGCTGAGCCGATCTGAAGCCAGAAGCCAAGAGCTTCTTCCAGGGATCCCATATGGGTGCAGGGTCCCAAGGACTTGGACCATTTTCTGCTGCTTTCCCAGGCACATTACCAGAGCGCTAGATCGGAAGTGGAGCAACCAGGACTCGAACTGGCACCCGTATGGGATGCCGACACTGCAGGTAAGGACTTTAACCCACTGTGCCACAGCACCAGTCCCTAGATTGCAGATTTTGAAAAGTATCAAGTGACTCAAGTTTAGGGGATAGCAAATATTAAGATAGTTGGGATAATGGGAAGAGGTTGTGGAGAGAGATTGGGATAGAATCCAAGTGGCAGTGCCTCCTTCTGGAAGTCGGCAGGGTATGTGATGCCCCAGAATGAGAGGGTCCTGGGACTGAAGACCAGAGAAGGAAGTTTCATGTGAAAATAGAGGAGTTTATCCTGGCAATCTGTATACAAGATTTCAGCCCTGAACAGACGGGCGATCTGGTCGTGAGCTGTAGCAAGACCTTTCTGTAGAGAGCAGCAGACTGGGAAGCATGCGTTGGCCAGCAGGGAGCTGGGGTAGCAGCAGGGGTTACATTACTCAGGTATGCATTTTGGAGGTGGCCCCTCAGGCCTGTGGTGGGTCTTTCAGACACTATCAGGAGATTGTGATGGCATTGATAGGCTGGCAGGCAGGGCCTCTCTGGGAGTGGAGAGGTCAGACTCAGGACGGTGTTACAGTTGCTTCACTTGCCTTCCACTGGGCCTCTTAACCTCCCAGCGGCAGGGGCAGCACATGTGTTAATAGCATTCAAGGTAAAGGGCTGTACGGATTGAACAAGGCGGTGCTGTGGACCTCAGTGGTCAGAGCTCACTGTAGAAATGGCACTTAGGAGTCCATTCTGCCTAAGAATGTGCCTTACTTTGTGTGCTGCGATTTCTTTGGGTGGGTAATGGTTGTAGTGGTTAAGGTACTGCTTGGGATGTCCTCATCTCATTTTGGTTCAAGTTGCCAGTTCTGCTTCAGATTCCAGGTTCTTGCTAATAATGCACACCCAGGGAGGTACTCGGGTTCTTGTACTTGGATTCCTGCTGCCTGTGTGGGAGACCTGGATTGTTTCTGGCTTCTGTCCAGCCCTGGCTGTGGTGGACATTTAGGGAGTGAACCAGCAGATGGAAGATCCTCTCTGTCTCTCTGCCTTTCAAACAGATAAAAATAAATAAAAATTAGAACAACATTATGAAGGGGCTCGTGCTGTGGTAAAGCGGGTAAAGCCACCACCTGTGGTGCTGGCATACCATGTGGGTACCAGTTTGAGTCCCAGCTGCTCCACTTGTGATCCATATCTCTGGTACTGTGCCTGGGAAGGCAGCAGAGGATGGCCAAGTGCTTGGGCCCCTGCACCCACGTGGGAGACTCAGAAGAAGCTCCTGGGTCCTGGCTTTAGATTGGCCCAGCTCCAGCCATTATGGCTATTTGGGGAGTGAACTAGCAGATGGAGGATGTCTGCCTCTCTCTCTCTCACTCTCTAACTCTGCCTTAGAAATAAATAAATAAATCTTTAAAAAGAAAAAAAAGCATCATTAAAATATTTCTTTAAACCAACAGTTCTCAAAACTTCTTTCATCCTACATACTTTTTTTTTAATTTATTTGAATGAATTACACAGAGAGAAGGAGAGGCAGAGAGAGAGGTCTTCATCCGCTAGTTCACTCCCCAATTGGCTGCAATGGCGGGAGCTGTGCTGATCTGAAGCCAGGAGCTTCCGCCACGTCTCCCACGCAGGTGGAGGGCCCCAAGTACTTGGGCCATCTTCTACTGCTTTTCTAGGCCATAGCAGAGAGCTGGATTGGAAGTGGAACAGCTGGGGCTAAAACCGGCAAACACATGGGATAGCAGCACTGCAGGTGACAGCTTTTTTTTTTTTTTTTTTAAGATTTATTTATTTATTTATTTGAAAGTCAGAGTTACACAGAGAGAGGAGAAGAGGCAGAGAGAGAGAATCTTCCATCCAATGGTTCAGTCCCCAGTTGGCCACAATGACTGGAGCTGCGCTGATCCAAAGGCAGGAACCAGGAGCTTCTTCCGGGTCTCCCATGTGGGTGCAGGGGCCCAAGGACTTGGGCCATCTTCTACTGCTTTCCTAGGCCATAGCAGAGAGCTGGATTGAAAGTGGAGCAGCCAGGACTCAAACTGGTGACCACATGGGATGTCGACACTGCAGGAGGCGTCTTTACCCGCTATGCCACAGCGCTGGCCCCATAAGGCACAGCTTTACTCACTACACCGCAGCACTGGCCCCATCCTACCTACTTTTAAGAATGATTGGAAAAAAATGAATATCTCAAAGAGCTTTGAGTTATTTGTGTTCTTCCACACAGAAAAATTTCAAAGAAAAAATTTTATAAAAGATTTATTGTATTTATTTGAAAGGCAGAGTACAAAGAGAAAGGGAGGGAAAGAGAGAGATCTTCCATCCACTGTTGACTCCCCATATGGCCACAACAGCCTGGGGCTGGGCTGGATCGGAAGCCAGGAGTCAGGAGCTTCTTCTGGGTCTCCCATGTGGGTGCAGGGACCCAAGCCCTTAGGCCATCCTCTGCTGCTTTCCCAGGTACATTAGCAGGGAACAGGATCAAAAGTAGAGCAGCCAGGACTTGAGCTGGCATCCATATGGTGCCATATAGCTTAACCCATTTCACCAAAAAGCCAGCCCCTCAAAGAGTTTTTAAAGCACAGGAATGGCCGGCGCCGCGGCTCACTAGGCTAATCCTCCGCCTAGCAGCGCCGGCACACCGGGTTCTAGTCCCGGTTGGGGCGCCGGATTCTGTCCCGGTTGCCCCTCTTCCAGGCCAGCTCTCTGCTGTGGCCAGGGAGTGCAGTGGAGGATGGCCCTGGTGCTTGGGCTCTGCACCCCATGGGAGACCAGGAAAAGCACCTGGCTCCTGGCTCCTGCCATCGGATCAGCGCGGTGCGCCGGCCGCAGCGCGCCGGCCGCGGCGGCCATTGGAGGGTGAACCAACGGCAAAGGAAGACCTTTCTCTCTGTCTCTCTCTCTCACTGTCCACTCTGCCTGTCAAAAAACAAAAACAAAAACAAAAAAACAAAAAACAAAACAGGAATACCCAAGCACCTATTCCATTAGCGATCAGGGGCTAAACGAGGTCCTTGCATGTCCTTTATTATTATTTTTTCCAATTAATAAAAGAGGGGGCCGGCGCCATGGCTCACTTGGTTAATCCTCCGCCTGTGGCGCTGGAATCCCATATGGGCGCCGGGTTCTAGTCCTGGTTGCTCCTCTTCCAGTCCAACTCTTTGCTGTGGCCTGGGAGGACAGTGGAGGATGTCCCAAGTGCTTGGGCCCCGGCATTCGCGTGGGAGACCAGGAGGAAGCACCTGGCTCCTGGCTTCGGATCGGCACAGCGCCGGCCGTGGTGGCCATTTGGGGAGTGAACCAACAGAAGGAAGAACTTTCTCTCTGTCTCTCTCTCTCAGTGTCTAACTCTATCTGTCAAATAAGTTAAAAAAAAATTAATAAAAGGGAAGCTTCACATCAGGAGGCTGCCCAGTGGGGGAAGTGCCTTCTTCAACCTTGGGGCTGAGGTCTCCCATCTCGCCCGTCAGGGTCTCACGAAGTTCTGCTTCTCTTTGTCCACTCAAGCTCCTTTGTTGAAGAGAGAGAGCTTACATGTCCCTTAGACTCTGAAAGAGTTCACCGTGCAGCTGGGGAAGAGAGGAAAAGGCATCTTCTGCAAGGGCCTTGGAGGCCACACCCACGAGAATCTTCCCTTTCTGTTTATTGGGCACTGACAGGGGAGGGGTCCAGTGCTGCTGGACCCTGGCACAAGATCCCGCTCTGCACTTCACCTTGGTCCTGTCTCCTAATCTCTCCCAGGGGCAGTTTCCACGTCTGCATCATGCATAACACCTGAGCCTTGAGGAACTTGGTAAGTCGAAATAAGACTTAATTTAGACTGGGCTAGTGTGCGGGCAGGATTCTAGTCCCATTATGAAAGTACTAAATAGGCCTCCGAGCCCTTTCTGCCTGTGTCTTCTGGGAGCCTAAGGCCACTTTCACAGACCTCATGGCGTATGGTCTCGTGGCCACCAGATGGCAGTGTCTTTTGGGTTTGGCCACAGGAAAGTTTCAGGCAATTTCTGAGTGCTCTAGGAAGACAGGCTGGAGGACATTTTTTCCATTTTTGGTTTGCCCAAAGAGCCCTGGTTCAGACTGGCTGGTGTACTTGGAAAGCCCAAGGGTGGAGCCACTGATGCGTCTTAGGGCGAGTGGTCCTTGGAGGAGTTGCTTTCTTTTGAGTCTTCTTGGCACCCCCCCCCCCCCAGCTGGAATCTGTTTCCAGTTGAGGTTCCTGGTTCTGTTCTTGGTGGTGGTGGTGGTGGGGCGCCCAGAGAGGGAGGGATACTCCTGTGTGTCAGGAGCTCAGCTGGCTGTCCGTCGAGCAGAGGGCACACGACAGAGGACAGGTCGGGTGGGCAGCCGATGTGTCCACATAGTCAGCAGCCTCCAGCACCTGGCCCCAACCTCCCCCACCCCTCACTGCAGCCAGACTGCTCCCCAGGTGCCTCTGGAAATGGAACAGTCTGCTCCCCCAGCCTCCCTCCCATCTCCTTGTCTCTGGGTAGAAATTCCTTTCCCTGCCTTACATACCACAGCCTCCATGAACCCTCTCAACAACTGGAAGTAATTTGTTTCTCCTCTTGGCCTGCAAAGCATTTATCTCGCAAGCTTCAGTGTTGTGGCAAAGCCTTTGTCCACGTGTATTTCCTACCCTCAAGGATACGCCACGTGTCTCTCCTCCCCACATGGAGCAGGCACTTAGGGCATATTACATGGGCGTTTTATGTAGTGTGTCCTGCTGTCACACTGCTGCCACTCCATCTGCACCTGGGCTTCCTAAGACAGTGGGAGAGGACTGACCTGGCCCTCGGCGGGGTTCAGTAGGTATTTGCTGAGTTAATCCTACAGAAGAAGTGATTGTCGGATTTAATCCTTTTTGCTGGTTTGTATTTTTGTCAAAATATCCTTGGTTATGAGTATAGCAGCCTGAAGCCACCCGTGGTGTGTTCCCGAAACTGTCCATTGTGTCTGCAGCCACCACAGGTGGCAAAGCCCACCATCTCTGCCTTCATTGATCCACCCAGCCACCCTATGGCCATAGCCTGGGCTTGTCCTGTACCAAGGGTCACTCTGCCTCTGAGGCAGAGTTGGAGTGCAGTAGGACTTCGAGCTGGACTTGGGCAGGCTCCATTCCACAAGGTGGTGTGGGCCACACAGGGTGTGCTGGCCAGGCTCAGCCCCTCTGTGTGCTGAGTGAGCTCAAGCAAGTCTTTGAGTTTCCTTCCTTCCTTCCTTCCATCCTTCCTTGCTTCCTTCCTTATTTTCATTTTATTGGAAAGGTAGACACACACACACACACACACACACACATAGATGAGACTAAGACAGGGAGAGAAAGATCTTGCATCTGCTGGTTCATTTCCTAAATTCCTGTAACAGCTGTGGCTAGACCAGGCCAAAGCCAGGAGTTTAGGATTCCATCTGGGTCTCCTATGTGGGTGGCAGAGATTTAGAATTGGGGTCATCATCTGCTGCCTCCCAGGGTGCACATTCCCACGAAGCTGGAATTGAGAGCAGAGTTTGGATTCGAACCCAGAGACTCTGAAATGGCATCTTAACCTTTGTGCCAAATGCACACTCCATGAATTTCTTTTTCAACAGCTTTTTTTTGTATGTGTGTAATTTCATAATCAACTGCATTTATTTAGAGTATGTAATTTTTAATGATTGTGTCTTATACAAACCCATTCACCCACAAACTCTTAAACCATCCCCAGAGTCAACATAGTGACTACATCCATCACCCCAAAAAGTTCCTTGTGTCCTTGATAATCCTCCTGCTCTCTGAGTAACCAGTAATTTGCTTTCTGTCACTGTCAATTAGTTTGCATTTTCTAGAATATTATATAAATATAATCACTGTGTTACTCATTTTTTCTTTATGAGTTCAATTAGCATGATTGCTCTCAGATTCATCAATGTATCATTTTTATTTTTTAAGATTTATTTATTTGAAAGAGTTACAGAGGGAGAAACACACACAAAGGGAGAGAGAGAGAGAGAGAAAGTGAGTGAGAGAGCAAGCTTCCATCTGCTGATTCACTCCCAAGATGGCCACAATGACTGGGGCTGGGCCAGACTGAAGCTAGGAGCTTCATCTGGGTCTCCCATGTGGGTGACCCACACACTTGAGTCATCTTCCATTGCTTTTCCCAGGCCATTAGCAGGGAGCTGGATTGGAAAAGGAGCAGCTGGGACCCGAACTGGCACCCATGTAAAATGCCAGCACTCTAGGCAGCAGCTTTACCTGCTATGCCATAGCACCGGCCCGGATTAATTTCTTTTTATCACTGGGTAGTAACTGCAGTCATCCTTCCCCCGACCCCCATCCTCGGAGGATATGTTCCAAGGCCTCCAGCAGTTCCCTGAAACCGCAGGTAGTTGTGAACAGTTATACACAGGCACTGCAGTACTGTGGCAGTCTAGCAGCTGAGTGTCTACTAAGTAACTCAAGGGCAGGCAGTGCGTACAGTGTGGGTATGCTAAATACAGGGGTCATTTCCATTCCATGTGGGATGGAGCATGGTGGCACTAGATGGAATCATTCCGTGCAGGATGAGGTACAATTTAATTCTTTAAAAGTATATTCTGTTTTATTTAGAAAAAGAGAGACAGAGCTCCCATTCATTAGTTCCCTTCCCAAACACTGACAAGTGCCAGGGCTGGGTCAGGCTGTAGCCAGGAGGCTGGAACTCCATCTGGGTGTCTCATGTGGTTGGTAGAGGCCCAGGTACTTGGGCCATCTTCCACCACCTTCCCAGGCACGTTAGCAGGGAGCTGGATCAGAAGCAGAGCAGCCGGGACTTGAAGTGTCACTCTGATATAGGGTCCATGCGTTGCAAGCAGTGGCTTAATCCAGTGCGCCACAACACCCGCCTTGGGTAAAATCACTCAATAACGGTGTCTACTGTGACCATTGAGAATGAAATCAGACTGTCACGTGCCTGATTCCTGACCATGGCAGTCCTACAAACAAAGCTTTTTGTTTGAACAGAGTTTCACAATTATACCATCTGAAAGTTCGACAACTGAAGTTTGAAAAACTTCAAATCTAGGTCCTTCCAACCCTGGGAGACTAGGAGAAGTAAAAATGGAATATGAAGGGTTGTGCTGTGGGGGAGGGGAATTGTCATGCAGGTCACCACCCTCTCTGTGGCATTCCCCTTTAATTAGGGCCAGTCTCTTAAAAAGCCCAGGTCTGTAATTTCTTGGGTGTGTTCATCAGACCTGATTTTAGGTTGCCATGTCTTTAAGGGACTGTGGCCACTTAGCGTAAGAGGACAAGTGTTCTAATCTGCTTCCTAAGAGGCACAAGTCTGCATGTCCCTGGGCGAACCTCAGGACCACTGACTGCAGCCTTGAAGCGAAATGTGAAACAATATAAAGAAAAGCCTGGGGAGGTAGGGCTCCCCCACACCATTGTACGCTCATCGGACGCTCCTTGGAGCCTCAGCCTTTTTAGCTCCATATATCCCCAAGGCCCAGGAGCAGGCTGCATGTCGGAGAAGAACACAGCCCCCTGTGGACAGACTGCAGTTGCCAGCCGTGTGAGCTGGGCAGGTTGCTTACTGTGCAGAACCTCCGTTTTCTTGACTGTGAAGTAGGAATGTAGAGCATATTCTCAGAGTGGAGTGAGAGGACGCATGCCCGCGGAGGCCGCGGTTGGGCTCCTGTGACTCATCCCAGAGATGGATGAGACCTGGCTGATCACCCAGCCCCTGCTTCTGGCAGGTGGTCCTCAGGCCTCGGCCTGAGAAGGTGCGGGACAAGCAGCTTGTCCTGCCCTGGACAGCTCTGCCGGAGGTAGTCCTACATTGAGCCCACTCTGATCCATGTGGCCTTCCTCACGCCTGGAGCTGGGTTTGTCCTGACACATGGGGTATCCATGAGCCCTTCCTTCTGGTGGCTTCTTAGAAGTCTGTGCTTTTTCTCTCACACACAGATTTGGACTACCCACAAGGAAAATCCCAGGTTCCGTCCCTTGGTCATTCCTCAAGGACGTTCTGAGCTGTCAGGCCCACCTGGTCACCAGCTTCTTGGTAGATCCCTTTTGGAGAGTGGGAGCTGGGAAAACGGAAAAGGAAGGGCTGAGCCATTCTGGGCAGGACTGAGCCTAAGCCAGCTCCCAGGGTTCCTGGCTGAGCATCTGAAGACATCAGTCTGTTCTTACCTGGTACACGTGGCTCCAGGTGGCACCTGCCTCCCAGGTGATGGTGTAAAGCACCTGCCTTCTCAGTTTCACACTCTTTTTTTTTTTTTTTTTTTTTCAAAAAAAAATTTTTTAAAGATTTTATTTATTTATTTGAGAGGTAGAGTTGCAGACAGTGAGAGAGACAGAGAGACAGAGAGAAAGGTCTTCCTTCCGTTGGTTCACTCCCCAAATGGCTGCTACGGCTGGCGCTGCGCCGATCCGAAGCCAGGAGCCAGGTGTTTCTTCCTGGTCTCTCATGCGGGTGCAGGGCCCAAGCACCTGGGCCATCCTCCACTGCCTTCCCGGGCCACAGCAGAGAGCTGGACTGGAAGAGGAGCAACCGGGACTAGAACCTGGCGCCCATATGGGATGTCAGCGCCACAGGCAGTGGATTAACCAAGTGAGCCACGGTGCTGGCCCCATTTTTTTTTTTTCCCAATTTTTAAGAATTTATAAGTGCTGAACAAATTTCCTGTTTTCATATACACAGAGTGAGTTTTTCACACTCTTGAGACTGTGTCCCTGACTCTGACCACTTTATAAAAGGATTGAAGCTTGTGCAGCCAGGCTGCTCCCAGCATCAGGCCAGGCCCTTCCAGGGCCCAGTTTGGAAACAG